TTTGTTTTCTTTTCAGAACAGACACTAGTCATTAATTATATTGTCATATAGTAATTATCTTTGCCTCTTAATATAATAATAGATAAGACATTCTAGAATAGAATGAATATGAAATTTTATTTTTGCAGAAAAATTTTAAATTTCTTTTAAAAATTAATCGATTCATTTTATTCTCTCATTAGGTGTACCAGATGCAATAACACATTGTACTACAGATACATATACTTCTAATGTAACAATAACAATAAGTTGTACAAAAAGTTATGCACAAGGTGATAATGATGGTTATGCTTGTACATTATTTAAATATAATGATAAACCAAATAAAAAAATGTTTGAAGAAATAGCTCGAACAAAATCTTGTATATTTGCATTGGAAAATTTTCATGAACCAGTTGAATTTCGTGTTGCTGCTTTTAATCGTTATGGATCATTACCACCTAATACGTATGGTTATGTAATTCGATTAAATGAACCTATATGTAAATAATCAAAAAAAAAAAATGAAAACACTATTAAAAAAAAAATTTTTTTTCTTATTTTTATTTTAGTACAAAGAGAAACACCATTTGTTAATAAGAGAATTATTATTATTGTAGGAGGTATATTTGGTGGTACATTATTATTATTTTTTCTTTGTTGCCTTTGTGGAGCATGCAATCGTGATCAAGCCAAACTTATGAATAAAGCTGATTATTATCATAGAACTAGTAAGTTCATTTTTTAGTCTTTTAAATTCTTCTTTTTTTGCAATAGAAAATTGAAAATAATCATTTTTATCGATTGATTTTTTAAAATATTTTCACTGACGATGGAAGAAAATTCATTTTCTCATGAGAAATCAAATTCCAATTGTATTCTATTACATCGTCGGTGTATGTTTATTATCTCGACTTTCAGATAAAAAAAAAGAAATCTTTTGTAGCTAAGACAATAGAAAAGTTTCGCATGATTTATGCATGTTTAGTCTATGGGTTATTTTTTATTTTACATTCTTCAATAGATAATGAATTCTTTTCTTGATGATAAAGAAAAAATAACTATCTATTTATATATATATATATTGTTATAGAATATCCCCACTCGTCGACCGAGAGCGAAGCATTAAAATCAAGAAATGGTAAGAGATCATGTAGAAAATAATAGTGACCCCATTTGCTAATATTTATTAATTAACTCTATGATTATATTATTGATAAATTTTTAACTAAAAAAATTTTTATAAAAAATTATTTTAGACGAAACAATTTCACATTTGGTTCCTAATGGAAATGATAAACGTCCTCATCAGGTTAGTTTAATGTATTTAAATAAAATTCATATAAACAATCCTGTCAGATAAGATAACTATTTTTCATTTAAAAATCCACGTATACTATTTTGTAGAACAATTCGTCACGCATCGAATGATATATAGGACATTATTTTTTCGTCAAGTTTTTATGTTCTAAGAAGCCATATGATATTATAATAATTGTAGATGATATGAACAAATATTATGACTTAGTATGTCTCTAAATCAATCTATATCAAATTTTGTTATAAAAGTTATTTCAATAGAGTTTTGTCTCGTCTTCAAAATAGCTTCTGTAATTTTTGATGTTTTAAATTCTTCGATACTGTTTCTGAGAGTACAGACGACCAATCCTGCAACTTTTTTCAGAACAAGTTCTATAGATATACCAATTAGTTGTCCTTTGATAAATATTTTTTTGAGTGAAAAAGTTTCTATTTATTAATAATAAGTTTATCATGACCTACTATATAGATCTTTCAAAAAAGTTAAAAAAACATTTTTCTCTTCAGAGTTCTGGAGGCAGGTATAGAAATAGACTATTACAAAGATTAATTTTCATCTTATTTTGTTCCTTATGAATTTAAACTCTGAATAACCGGGCGTGATTAGTGTATGGAGTTCTATTAAATTCAATATATACTATAGAAGAATTTAAAACATCAGAGAAACTAATAATTACACAACCTGATAAAAACGCTAACGTTTTCGATACAAAGAAAGCTATTGTGAGTGTTATTATATATATACGATTGAATATGAGATGAAATTCTATTGAAGTAATTTTAAATAAAATTTGACATAGATTGATTTGAAGACATACTGACGAGGGAAGGCCACCAACTGTCTCCTCGCTTTTGAGCTGAAACTCA